CAAGTGAGGCCAGCAATGGATGCCCGGGATTTGAAATTTGTGATGCGTCTTCTGTAAATTTATGCATGTCGCCCAGGCTTGCATGCAGTCGACCGACGCAGGTCTGCGATTGTCAGTGATTTGCGGTATTTTCGGAGCACGTTGCTAAACACACAAGCTGTAAATTTGATGCCAACCGCAGCGCCGAAGATGGTGTGGGCCCCCTGAAGCGGCAGTTGGTTGTTGTAACGATGACTTAGCCTTCCTCAAGATTCCTGGACATATTTGCCGGGGATGCTGTGGGGAAGCATCTACCCGCATTTAGCATGTGTACAATATTTCTCAACGCAGCCTCCACCAACAGAGCCAAAGCCGACAAAGCAGAAACCAGGAGGGGCCGAACACAGTAGACTTCGTTGCCTTCGCACGGCTTACCAGTGGCAGTTCACATCCACAATCGCTGGCAATGGGCGCCAGTCGGCCCGCGGCAGCTTTTCTGTCCAAGCTTTCTTTATTTCGGGCAGCAGCCCCTTACTGAACCTGCGCCACGACATGTTCACCGCATGGATATCAGTCTGATTGGCAACGCCCAGCATCGCCGAAAAGTTGATGAGGACTATTCTCTCTCATCCCGCCATCAGCGCTCGAACCCTGGCCACCAGCATTTTTGGTGAGATGACGCTTGGGGGCGCTCTCTGCGGCTTACTGGAACACTCTCACACGCGCACCGCCCTGGCGGTTCCCAGAATGGCACCTCCAGCCATTGCGCACGGACACCGGCGCGTCGCAAACCGCGGGCCTGCCAACAAACAACAGCGACTCGTCTTCTGCACCGGGCTCAAGCTGGACGAATGGGCACCCTCCCGTCGGTGGCTGGGACCGTTTTCTTCCCCCGTGGCCCGTCGTGTGAGGCCTCGGGTGCAGCTTGCTTCCCCGACAACCGTGGTTCAGCGGCAGTCCATTAGAAGTTTCCTTCCCACTTGCGGGCGCACCACCTCCATTGGGCTGCTGTGTGCCGCCGGCGGTTGCCTTCTTCCCCAACTGCCAGACCCCCGGCGACCCAACCACCGCCGCAGGTAGCTGCGCCGGGGACTGCGGCGCTGTGGACGGCCTGGGGTCCGTGAGCACCGGGTGCCTCGACGCCGCGAAATAGCGACGGGCCGAAAAGTACCTTTCGCTCCGGCAGGAGTCGGGGGGGCCCCTTCCGTCCGCCGGCGCCTTCCCTGGGCCCCCGTCGTCACGTGTCGGGTGCTCGAAGCGACACGCGAGGCGCAAGCCCATTCCCGGCCCCGGGAGGGCGTGCCCTTGCCCGGATCTGGCCATCTTCATTGACTGCCCCACGATCGAGATGTCTTCACAAACCGCTCCTTCGCAGTTTGGGTCCAACACGGTTCGCGGATGGGCGCCCCGATCCTGTCGCGAAGCCGGGTCCTTCACTTGGAGCCCGCTCATTCCGCCCAGCGTCCCACTCACTTGCGTGGGCCCATCCGCCGCCAAACCAGCAGGCTCCGTCGGCATCTCATGGCCGGCAAGAACATCGCACCCCCCGAAATCTGCCCCTGCTGCCGGCGCGTCCCGTGGGGAATTCGACGCACTGCCCTGGCCCTTTAGGGATGCAAGCTTGTCCCGACGGTGCGGTACGCGGCGAACCGAGCCGGACCTGTTCGCCGCCGCGCCCATCTTAGCAGTGCCCATCCGCGCTCTCTGAAATGCCACGAGCGAGCCGCGGCAGCGCGGGTCCCCAGGTGCAAACCCCTGGCTTCGGCATTTTCCGAAGCTGCTCCCGATCGTGGCCCCCAGGCTGTCGTCGCCGCCGGGCTGCACCGCGTCGGCGGCTGCGCTGCGGTGGGTGTCGCACCGCCGCGGTGCCATGAGTCAGTGCTCAGGTTCGGTGCGTCTGACGTGGTCGGTGGTGTCCCCTGGGCGCGGCCACCTGGGAACACAGCTCACGTTCGCCGCCGCCTGTTCAGGAATCTCGCGGCCCGCCGCAAGCGGCCTCGCGCCGGGGGGAGTGTTCTGAACGCCGTTTTGGGACCGCCGCAGAGCTGTGTGGCCCGCGCGTGGCACCGATCCCGTTTCCTCCTTTCGCCGGCGTCGTTCTGAGCCGCTGGGTACCTGCGGCCCAGGCCAAACATGGCGACCCAAACGCCGTTCGTCGCGCTTCCCGTTTGCAACTACCCCCAAACGGAGCTTCGCCTCCGTTTCGCTTCGATTCAGTTCACTGTCGCGAGCCTGTCCCCAACAGCGACATGGCCAACACGCGCATGTCTCCCCCCGCCATCGCACAGCCAGGACGACGGGCCTGGGTCCGGCCGCGGCGCGATGTCCGAGGTGTTAGTGTTCCGGTGTTCACGAAGTCAGGGCCTTCGCCTTTGTGTTCGCAGACTTAGCTGCTCATCAGCGCTCTGCGCACCTTCCCAGGAGGCGCGCCGCACAGCCAGCTCGCCCGCACAGGCCACGTCCTTGGCGAGCTCCGCTGCCACAGGGCGGGTTTGCGAGGCGTGGGATGCGTTGAGTTCACGAACAGATGGCCACCTTTTGGGAGAGGGGCTTCCCCCGAGGGCCGTGGCTCGCCAGACCGGCGCGACAGAGGCTGCAGGCTCGTGGCCGGTGCCGGTTTGCGCAACTTCTGTTCTTGGAACGGAGGTGGCCACGCGTAACGCCCACCCTCGATCCCGCCGCAGGAGTCCACTCCGATGGTGTCTGCGGACTCCATAGGGGACACGGATGTTCTGACGTTCTGCTTCCCTCCTCGCAGAATCCTGTTGGCCGCGCACCCCCGACCAGCGTACATTTTCGTCGACCCTCGCCGGACATTGCGGAACGTGGTTGCATTGCAAAGTTTTGCTGGGTAGCACCTCCGACACTGGTAGAAAACGGCATGTTTGCGATGCCAAGTGCGATGCCATTTCGACACAAAATGATTCCATCACAGTGATTGCGATGGCATAAAAAAATGACTGTGATGGCATCAATTTTGTCAAAATGGCATCGCAAGCACGCTGTTTTCTACTAGTGCGGGTTAAAGTGCTTGGGCAGAACTCTGCAGGGCGCAGTGAGTTTGAGAGGCGCACTGCAATCGCCGCCCACACATCGCGCTTTGCTGTGCAGCAATTCGTCATCGGCCACAGGCAGTGACGTGGACTTGAAGGAGCACAGTAAAGTGCATGGGGCGACAACATGGCAAGGTGGCAAGTCGCCAATCGCATCGTCCACGGCACTGACCTGGCGCATCGCCATGAGAAAGCCGGTGGCTCAACTTTGGAAACAGCTTGGTGGCAATTGGCAAGCGCCATTCCATCTAACCACTTACAACTTGCAGTGTTGAGCGCTTGCTGTGTCAGCCGGAGTTGTAGGTCAGAAAGGGTTTCGAACCCGTGAACAAGGGATCAATGGCAAGGCGAACCAATTTCGGCTCACTCCAATCAGTCTAATCATTCCTTTTGGGCCTATCTTGGTGAAAATGTCACAGCGCTGGAAAATTGAGCACAAAGGCAGCAAGTTGTCGATGCTCCTGAGTCCGAAGCGGAGCCAGTTGTGGCGGTTTTGTGGAGAAACACCATCTCCTTGAGGCCACGTTCCAGCGTTTTCGCCCTGACAAATCGTCCCCAGAAGCGTCCCTTCTGTCCGTCCCGGCTGGTGCTTCGAAATTTTTCGATACTGGTGTGTTATGACACGAAATCGGAGGCAAAATAAACAACGCTGACCCGACTACAAATCCGCCCAATTCGGCACCAGCGCCTCCGGCCCGAGCACTCCCCACGCGGCGCGACGGAGAGCGGCGCTCGGGGTGCCCCGGCACGTGAGGCGGCGCACATGGAGGGCTCGCAGACGGGCGAGGGGGGCCGTGGGTCCGGCGGCGGCGGCAGGGCCCGGCCCCGACGCGCCTCCCCCGAGTCGAACGTCTCCAACCACTGCTCCAACAGCCACGGCGGCCCGCCGAGCGGCCCGTTCCGCAGGGGGCGGAAGAGGACGCGCGCCTGGGAGTCCACCGAGGGTTCGATCCCTTCGGACGTCTGCATGGACACAAGCCGGAGGCGGCTGCACCAGGGCAGCGCGGAGGGCCTGTCGCCCTGGCAGGAGCTGCCCTTCGGCACGCTGCAGATGATAATGAGCGAGCTGCTATGCATGGACGACGGGGAGGCTGGGGTAGGGCGGAGCGCGGCGGGGGGCGGCGGGATCGCGCTGTTGGCCGGGGAAGGGGGACGGAGCCGCATCTGAGATGAGTTCTGTGGCTTGTGATCAGGTGCGGCGGTGCGGGTGCGTGTGCCGCACCTGGAGGGGCGTGTCGGCCGAGCTGCTCATGACGGACACGGCGGCCTCTAGGCCACCGAGGTGAGGTGGAGGGAGGCGCTCAGGGAGCGAGGGACTGCTGTGGGGCGCTGTGCGGCTCCCCGACTGCTGCCATGGTTCCTTGCCTTGTGCACGCGGACCGGGCCTGGCTGGCTTGGGAGGCTTGAGACGGCGCGTCTCCGCTTGGGTGGCCGCCGCTTGCGGCTTCTCTGGTGGAAGCTGCTGATAGTTTGATCGGGTGTGCCTGCTGCAGGCGGCCGGCGCCCCCGCAGACGACAGATGGTGGGGCCACCAGCCTGGCTATCGTGAGGGAGGACGATTCGTTGTCGAAGTCCGTCAGTGGGGGTGAGCCCAGACTGCAGGAATCGCGCAGCTCAGGGACGGGGTTGGGAAGCTGGCGTGCGGACAGTGGAGTCCTTCCTGCTAAATTGCAAAGCACAAAGCACGCCACGGATTTGGCGTGGTCCCCACCACCACCTCCCTTTCTTGTTGGACCACAGAATGAATATTTTCTTGCTACGCATTTTGCGTGGTGTTCTGCTTTCTGTGTTTTACCATGCTTTTGGAGACCTGTACATCATCTACCACATCCTGTCACAAAACCTCACCATTGCTTGCTCTATTGGAGAGGATTGCCTGTTATAGGGGGTGCTTCTCTTTTTGGTAATGATGAATCTCCTCCCCTTACCTGTCCTCTTGATGTGTCAGTTCCTGTTGTGTATATACTACCAGAGGAGCCCCCGCTGGCAGAAATGATGAGCAAAATACAGTGCCTCAGACAGCGGACAATTGCTTCCAAGACTGTTGTGTTCAGTGTGATGGTGGTGGTGATGGAAATGCATGGGCATCTACCTCCAGGCTGTGTGACATCTGCTGATGTGTCGTCCATGCAGGGGGAAGTGAGCACCAATCGCCAGCGTTCCAAAGCCATCCAGCTCATGGCGACCAAACCCTTCATTCCCCGGGATTCCGTATGATCCGATTTGGCCTCGACAGGCAGGCGCGACCACTGCAGCTGGGCCATGGCAGCCACCACTTCTCCTTGGCGGGCAGGCACCATGGCCTACATGGCCAAGATGTGAGTGTGCACAGGGTGGATTTTCGCGAGCAGGGAATGGTGAACGTACAGCATGCAGACGCCCAGACGCTTGGCAGAAGTGCGCCGGTGAGCCATGACAGGGTGTCCGAACTTGCACCACCATCCCCACAGAGGGCGGTTCTGGAGGAGGCTAACCTCGTAAGCGAGTCGGAACTGGCGCCACCGTCTCCACAGAGGGCGGTCCTTGAGGATATGAACCTCATAAGCGAGTCGGATGCAGAGGGCGGATGTGGCTTGTCGTCCTTGAGGACGGGAGAGTGCTCTGAGGGCTCTGCACGAAGCAGGCCTGTGCCCCAGGCGACTTGTTAACAACCTGCACAAGAGCACATTGCCGGCCCTGCTGCCAGCACGCAGTTCTATGTTCTGGTTTTAAAATTCCATGCAAGAAAGCATGTCCGGGGGAGCTGGGGTGGGAGGTGGTGGAATGCACATGGGCTTGCTGCGCTGCTTACTGTGCGGGGCGCGATCTGCTTGGGGAGTGGCTGCGAGTGCTGTGGTGGACCTTTGCTTTTTGGCAAATGTTCACCAGAAATTCTTGCGGTGGACTTGACGATGTTCTGTTGATGGGGAGAAACACATAAATGCACGCACGGAAGGAATATGTTCATGACAATCTCCACTTTAGCAGGTCGTCCTGGTTAGAGTCAGGACCCTCACGTGTGCCATTTGTGGTGGAATTGATGTGTTGAAATCTCTAGGTTCCTGGCTTGATATGTTGCATAGCGTAGAATTACTGAATTTCCAGCCTTGAGTGAATTGCGAGAGCCTAAAGTGGATGGGGGTGGGGTGAGGACATGTTGCAGATACGAGTGTGCCTTGTGTCCCATGTGGATTTTGCCAAGCACGTTGAATCAAGCAGTGAAGTACGCATAGCTATTGCTGCGAGTGCAAGTTTGTCCCTCTGATATGTGGCTTGTTCTATTTTTGATGCCATGCAAGAAGCGGGCAAGCCAGGTAAATTCTCCTGTTGGAAACTGTCCCTTGCCGTTGAACCCGGTGCTGGTCCCTTCTCCGCGCTGTGCGTTGGATCGCATACACCTGGGGTTGATTGTAGCACAGAATGGCTGTGATTGGAAGTAAATGGGGCGGTGCAGTGCCTGGGTCAGCCATGCATAAGTAACAAGAAATGAGCGTCCAAAACCAGCAGAGGCCCAAATCATCAGGCACCATCCCAGCAGTCAGAAGCGTTCTGCACGTTTGGATGATGTCAGGCGGGCAAGAGTCGATGCGGAGCCAACTCAAGCGAATCAACACAACACAACTTGACATTCACAACTCTTTCAAGAATGCCCCTGTTCAATTACATGCAGGCCCTCAATTCCCTGCGTTGATGCATTGGTCATATTACGGTATGTCCCAAGACAGTTCACCAAAATTCATTGGGAACCTTGTTGTAGACAGCAATAGGCCCTACTACACCCTTTTAACATTTTGATATTATTACATACTTGGGGGGGATTGTCTCTTCCAGTATGCTAGTTCGTGCTGCCCAAATTCTTGTTCACAACAATTGGCTGCGCTTGCTGCAATCTAGGACGTTCTCTTGGTTGTACAACCTTGAAAACCTTGCCAATCTTCAAGATATATGCTCTTGGATTGATCAAGGTGCTGTTCGAGTTACCGCAAAATGCGTTGTAATGAACAGCCATCTTTGCCGTTATGGTACTCATTCTGGTCCATTCACAACCCCTGCCGATCACCTCACCGAATGGGATGGCCCGAGTATGCCACCATTCCAGTCATAGAAAGCGCACTATCGACAGTGCTGTAAAGGGGCAAGTAAACCCCAGTGTAGACGCACGATAGATATGGAAAAGTGTGGCAAAATCTGCAGAACATTGCAAGGAAATGAGGCTACATTGACTGAAGTCAGCAGGATAAAGCATAGTGTAGTCAAAATGCCGGAAAGATGATAGGCGCGTCCCTCCGTACGAGGAACTATGCATAGAGTACAGCAGTACCCAGGAGCTCCACACAGGGGTAGCTAGAGAGATCCCCTCTGACCCGTGGGATGTAGCAACGAAGGACGTGGCGGGAACAGTGCACAGAGCCGTTTGCTTGCATGCCCGGCCACAAAAGGAAGCAAGACGCCATGACAAGGGTTTTGTGATCCCTCGCCGTGTGGCGCCATGAGCTGGAGTGGGAGCTCGCACAGGCAGGGTGCTAGTTGGCGGAGTGGCGCATTGTGCACCCGCAGGATAAACACCCGGAATGGCAGGTGGAGTGCTCCATCAGAAGGAACAAAAACGGCAGAGGACAACCTAACACTCTTCCCGCCATCCTCTGACTATGTCAAGCCACGTTACTTCATGTACGAGCTCGATGCATGGGCGCAGGAGCTATGGAGTCGCATCGTGGACATGGAAAAGCAGACCGAAGGAGGCGTTGTAGCCCCACTGAATGCAGAACTCTGTGAGGAAATCTGGGGGCGGCTGGAGAGAGCCGCAGAGTGCTGCCCAGGTCGAGAGCCGACGGATCTGGTCACGGGAGCCCCTCTCCATGAACTGCAAGTCGGAGTCATGGCCTAGCTCTTGGGATGAGAGGCAGTGCCGGTGTGGTTCTTGGTTGTGCGGCAGACTGAGGTTCAGTCAGAGATACAGTGGGGCGTGCCAGACCAACACTGCATCATCTATGGAGAGCGCAGGAAGTAGTTATGGAGAGGCGTTCTGGGAGTGGGATTATGAACGGGTCTAGCGAGTGCAATGAACAGGCTTTGTTATGCACAGGCCTAGTGTGGGGGACGCCCTGCCTTGGTCTCCTAGAGCGGGGGCCGCCTTGCCCAGGATATGGAATTAACTATCTTGTTAATGGGTTTCTGCGAAGGGCGACGATTGGGAGGGCGCGCAACGGCCAGGTCGGGCCGTTCCGCCTTTTGGACAGTTTGGGCCAGTCATAAGCCGGTTTCTGTCACCCCTGTACTCGGGGTCAGTACTGCCCGACGTATCCAAGGGAGCTTGGGTTGAACCTTGTACCTTGGGCGCAGCCAAGGGGACCGGTCAAGCTGGCCCTTGGGTTTGGCGCGGAGTTTGGCGGCAAGTGGGAGTGCTATTTCAGGCGCGACCCTTGGCGCCCCCCTAATCTTGTTTCGCTTCGCGCCAACACGTTGGCACAACCCAGAACCACCGAGTGGTTCGACCTTCCGGCCTTCGCGCCGAGTCCTTTCTGTATTAACCCCAGCCCTGCCGAACAGTGGCTGCGGGCACAGGCGCTTCGTTTCAACCAGCGCCTCCCTGACCGTCCTATTGAGGTCACGTGGGTTTCCGACCCCCGGTTACTCCCCCGCTCAGTCAACAACCGGGTCGCCAGGCCGGACTTTACATCTTTCCCGGCCTGGTTCGACGTACGGGAGACCGGCCAGGGCCAGACCGTCGCCGCAGCCTTGGGCCCCAACTCCGGCTACTTCCAGGAGTACACGAGCTGGGCGCCGTGGGTCGGTTGGCAGTTCGACTTTGCGGCATGCTTCGTGGACCTTGTCGCCCATCCGAGTCTACCGCCTTCGATCCGAGATCTCCTCCTGCCGTACGTTTACGCCTCGGTGGCCATTACCGAGCGGCAGGTCGACCAGCTGCGCCTCCATCAGGTGCACGCGAAGCATCGCGGCACCGGGCTCGAGGGATCCTGGCGGGCTCTGCAGGCCCAGATCCGCCTCAGCGAGCCCGAAGGCGGCTTCACCACCGACACCATCGACGGGACGCTCGGTGCCATTCGCAAGGAGCTCCTCACCCAGGAGGTCAAGCTTGCGACCAAAGCGGCCGCGGCCAGCCGGGCGTCCAAGGCGGGGAGCGGCGATCCTTCTCCCCATTCGAGCGGCCCGTCGGGGAAGCGGGGCAAGAGGCGCAATCCCCCTCAGGCGGCGCGTCCATCTCCGGACGCGTGACCGACTTCCCGTATAATCACACCCACGGACGCCTCTCGGCATGGCGGAGGATTGGAGCGCCATCGCACGTTCTTCAATGGATCCATTCGGGCGTCCCGCTGCCCTGGGGACCGCAGGGACCTCCCCCGCCTTTCGACCTGGGCGAATACCCGATTCGTTCGGAGGAGGAGCGGGCGGGCTGGACGGCCCTCCGAGAGGAGTATTTGAAGTCGGGCGTGATCGTCAAGGTAGACCCCGGCCCCTCTTCGCGCATCTCTCGCGCGTTCTTGGTGGAAAAAGGGCAGGAGGATGGGGTGATGAAGTATCGACTGTGCGTCGATCTCCGCCGAATTAATCGGCACTTGTGCAAGATGGGCTTGCAGTACGAAAAATTATGGGATTTTGGTCATTTGTTGAAAAAGGGTGATTTTTTGGTCGGTTTTGATGTGAAGGATGCCTACCATCATTTACGGATGAGATTGGCTGACAAATGCTTTTTACAGTTTCGTATGGACGGGGAGGTCTTCGCTTGCCACGCCCTCCCCTTTGGTCTCTCTTTATCTCCTTACTTTTTCACCCATTTTATGTTGGTGGTTACTCGTTTCCTTCGCTCTCCGGGGTCATGTACCAAAGCGGCGCAAAAATTCCGTTTTGGCAGTCTCGCGGGGAATGATTCGATCCAACGCTACTATGTGCGTTATACGATCGATGACCCCGCCATTATCCTGGCCTATTTGGATGATTTTCTGGCCGCCCTGAGCGATCCCCAGAAATTGCGAGAATGGTCCCAATTAGTTAGGGAGATTTTTGGGGCCCTGGGGATTCGCTTTAAGGAGCGGAAATGCCAGTGGGAGCCGGTTCGGGTCAAGCGCCACCTCGGGGTGGTGGTGGACACCAACGCTTGCCGTTTCTTCGTTCCCCGGGACAAGGTGACACTCCTGGCCAAAAAGGCCCGGGTCTTTCGGGCCCGGAAATGGGTAGTGGCTCGGGATTTGGCTCGCTTTTGTGGGCAGGCTATTTCGGTTTATTTAGCCTTTCCCCTTGCCCGGTTTTTTCTTCAGAGCCTTTATGCTGTGCTCCAGACCAAACGCTCTCGGCGGGATCGTCTTCGATTGACCCCGCAAGCCTGCCTCGATCTCGAGGCCTGGGTCCATCTTCATCGGTGTGATGGCCGCCCCCTTAATCTTGACGGGGTGCCCTTTGCGGGTACCCTCGCTACGGATGCTTCCTTGACGGGTTGGGGTGCGACTTTCACTCCCCCTCATGCCGATCATCCTCAATTGGCGAGGGGCTTCTTTGATCGCTCGTTAACGCACATCAATGTGCGTGAATTGCAGGCGGTGGCCTTGGCCATCCGGGCCTTTTTTCCGGCGGTTTCCCCCTCAATCTCGGCTCGGCTGCGCCTGCTCGTGGATTCACAGGTGGTCCTCTTTTGTATCCGCAGCATGACGAC